ATACGAAAACCAGAGAACAATCCAAATAAGAAAGAGAATTACAGACCATTCTGCCTGGTGAACATTGAAGCAATATCCTCAATAAGATACTGGCAAACAGACTGCAGAATATCATCGAGAAGATTGTACAACATGATCAAGTGGAATTATTCCCTGGGATGCAGGGGTGGTTCAACATACATAAATGCATACATATAATACACTGTATTGACAAATCCAAAAGCAAAAATCATTTGATCATTTCAATAGATGCAGAAAAAGATTTTGACAAAGTCCAAAACCTATTCATAATAAAAAACCTACAAAAATTGGGAGAGATGATCTTTATCACAATCTGAAAAAAAACCTTTTATTACAAACCAACAGTCAACCTCATACTAAGTGGACAAAAACTGAAAGGTTTCACTGTAAAATCAGGAACACAACAGGGATGTCTACTGTCTCCATTCTTATTCAATATAGTCCTGGAAACTAGCTGGAGCAATTAGACAAGAGAAAGAAATAAAAGGAATAAAGATAGGAAAGGAAAATGTTAAACTATCATTATTTGCAGAAGACATGATACTCTACTTAGAAGACCCTAAAAATTCCACCAAAAGACTTCTAGTTTAAGAAGCAAATTCAGTAATATAGCTGGTTACAAAGGCAACACTCAACAATCACTAGACTTCATAAACAAGAATAAAAAACTCATGGAAAGAGAAATCAAGGAAACAATAACTTTTACAATAGCATCCAACAAAATGAAATATTTAGGAATCAATCTAACAAAGGATGTAAATGACCTCTAAACTGTAAACTACAGTACTCTCAACAAGGAGATTGAAGAAGGTATTCTAAAATGAAGAACTATCCCATAGTCTTGGGTAGGGAAATTCAATATAGTGAAAATGACCATCTTCCAAAGGTATGGTACAGATTCAGTGCAATCCCAATCAAAACCCGTAGCATATCTCAAAGAATTACACAAAATAATTCCAAAAATTCATCTGGAACCAGAAGAGACCTAGAGTAGCAAAGGTGAGGCTGGGCAACAAAGGAAAGATAGGGTTCATCAAAATCCCTGACTTGAAATTATACTAGAAAGGTATTGTGATTTTTTTTTAAAAAAGGTGTGGTACTGACAAAAAACAAAACAAACAAAACCAGACCCAAAGATCAAAGGAACAAATTAGAAGATGGAGAAACAACCCCAGACCACTAAACCATTTTATCTTTGACAAAGGAGCCAAACAGAGTCATTGGAAGAAAAGCAGCCTCTTTAATAAATGGTGCTGGAAAAACTGGCTCTATACATTCTGAATATTATCTTTCAACATGTATGAAGCTAAGATCAGAATAGATCAAAGATTTTATATTAAAACAGAAACATTAAATCTGCTACAAGATAGAGTAAGTAAAACTCTTGAAGACATTGATGTAAGAAAAGACTTTATGAAGAAAACTTGGATTGAACAGCAAAAATCAAAAACAATTAAGTCAGAATCTCACCCTACTGAAAAACGTTTTAACAGCAAGAGAAATCACTAACAGTGAAAAGACAACTCACAATGTGGGAGAAAATATTTGCCAACTGTTCCTCAGACAAAGTATTACTATTGAGAGCATGGAAAACTAAAATATTTCAGTCTTCCCAGATTTAAATACCCAATCCAAAAAGGTGCATCTGAGGTGAAATACACATTTCTCAGATGAAGAAATATAAACAGCGAATAAATATGTGATAAAATGTTCTGCATTACTCATCATTTAACAATTGCAAATTAAATAACACTGATATGTCACCTTGACCCAGAAAAAAATGCCTACTGTCAAGAAATCAAGCAATAACGACTGCTGGAGAGGTTGTGGGGGAAAAAGGAACTCTTCTCCATTGTTGGTGGTAAGGCAACCACTGTGGAAATAAGTGTGGAGATTCCACACAAACTAGGTCTACAGGTCCCACTCAACTCAGTTATTCTCCTTCTGGGTATCTACCCAAAAGAATAAAAATCATCATACCACAATGATATATGTGCACCCACGTTTATAGCAGCACAGTTTGTGGTAGCCAGATCTTGGATGGAATGCAAGACCTCTAGCTTGCCAGGCAGACGATTAAGCTAAATTCCTGGACCACTTTTTTACTTTTTAACTTTCAAATAAAATGCATTTGGGAGAAAAAACAAGGACTGAGGTAAAGACTTTCAGTGCAAATACCCATCAGACGAGCTGAGGTCAACATTCCAGAAGACAGCCAGCTCCAGAAGCCTCCACCATCTTTAATTGGGGATCCACAGTTACAGGGTGGTTTTTTTTTCTGTAATTATTCTTGGTGGAGAAGGCAGGCAGGAGAGCAGGAACCAATCAGTGATGAAGAGGCCAGCTGTAAGAACTGTCCAATCAGGCGGGCCAAGGTAGGCAGTCTCTTCCGGTGTCATGGCATCAACTGCAAGGCCTGTGCAAAAAAGGGAGCACTGGATGTTTGCTGGACCATTATTTTTTGCTTCTATTTGCTGTGGACTGCTTAGAAAGAACCTGGGAGACCTCCAAACTACGCAATGGTGATGTTTTGGGATGGGAGCAGTGAAATGGGGTGGAATCCGGTTGAGACCAGTTAGAAGTGATGAGAAAGGGCTGGGGGTTTAGCTCAGCGGCATAAGCGCCTGCCTTGAAAGCAGGCAGTCATGAGTTGGATCCCCGGGACCGATAAAAAGGAAAAAGAACAAAAAGAAAAAAAAAAAAAAAAGAAAAAAACCAAGTGGTGAGAAGCAGCTGTGCTGTCTAGAGCCTGTGTGCTTAGCCTCAGACCCTGAGGTGCTCTAGTTCTAGCAGTGAGTCATCCTTTGTCCCTTTTACCTCTTGCTGGGGCCAGGACAGTTCTGGGTCCCTAGAACGCTGTCACCACTGTGATACCACCAGGCCACAAGGCCATTTTTGAAATCGCCTGCTGCCCTTGCTCCTCCAACAGTCTGGGCCCAGGACAGGGCATGAGGAGACCCTGATTCCGATGTGGTTTCAAGCTGGATGCAGCTGTAATAAGCTAGGTCTCTGCTCTCGTTCCTGTCAGCAACAGATCTGAAAGTCAGAAGTTTATAAATGTCTGTGCTGCAGGACCTCATAGCCACAACTGCTCTCCTTAAACTTATGCATTTATGTATTTTGTGATCACCTAAATTTATACTATGTTCTCATATTTCCATGCTCATGAAAGATGGAGGCAAAGGTTCTGAGAATTCAAAGATGTGTAGTGATGTGCCTCAGTGGAGGAAGGCTTCCCAAACACCGGATGAACTGCTGTGTATTATACAGAACAATGCAAAGAATTTCTGATCATACTTGATGTGACACATGTGCTCAAAGACGATGTTTGGGAGAACATCCATAGAGGTTTAAATTTTGAGAAGAATGAAGCAGATATAAATGTGTCATCAAGGGCAGGGTAAAGTGTGTTTGCTAAGGGCAAATTCCAGAAAGGGCTGCCTGTTAAATTCTCATTGAAAATGCCTACATTTAGTCATTGGCATGAACATATATATATATATATATATATATATATATATATATATACACGTGATATCCATCTGAATGGAAAGGAATGTGGGTGTCATATCTGAATTAAGAGGTGATTTAATAGCTTGGTTGATCATATACATTGTTGAAATATGGAAATGCTCTGCAGTGGACTTTACTAAGTGGTGTAAAGGAGATGCCATAAATTGAAATTGCGCAGAGATATCAATAGTTTAGTCGTGAATGGTTGTCTGCCTAGGGTGGATCAGACTAGCATGGAAAGGATGCGGAAGTGACTGGTAGGACATAGTATGCCAATAGCAGGACATACAACAGACAGGATCTTCCCTGAAAGTCAGGTAGTTCTTAGGCTAAGCATGAAGTTAAATTTGGCTTATGATTTCTTCCTGGAGGTGAATAACACCAGCTCTGGTAACAATCAGTATTCCACATCCTTGTCAACCCATGAATTCTGTGTTCTTCACTTGAGATCTAATTTTGATTATCTCCAATTACGACCCAGTGTCATGAAGGTGAAATTTGAATTTTTTTTGTAACAGGGATTGAACTCATGATCTCAAGCTTGCGAGGTAGTTGTTCATGCTTCTGAGCTAAATACCTAGCTCTGAAAGGGTTTTCTGTATACTATTGTCGATGTCGCTTCTGGCCGGCAGGAAGGACACACGACAAAGTCTGGTAGTGGACAACCTTTTCTTTTTATTTTCTCTCTGTACAGCCTGCCCTGGGACCGCTCCCAGCTGAAGCCTCCTCTGGTCCGCTCCCCGCGGCTCCCTTTGGGCTTCACTCCGAAGCCTCTATCGGTCCGCTCTCCACGGCTCCTTTTGGGCTTCCACTTCCGGGCTTCTACCTGGCTTCTACCTCCGCCCAGGGGTGGCACCGGTATATATATGGATACAGTGTCCAATCATGTTAAAGTAAGCAAGGCAAGCTGATTGGCTAACATCATCAGTTGCCAGGCAGACTATATTGTTGAGCGGGTTGTTTACGCGGTAAGCAGGAAACTAACGTACTCCATGGGAGGGGTAATCTACCTCAGGCTTTGCTCTTTACCACAGGCCGCACGTCCGCCGAGTAAGGCGAACTATCACAGACGCGGCTCCCAACATCTCCCCCTATTTTATTTTTTATGAATGTGCGCATCGTAGCCCTTCCTGGACTGGGTGCAGAGGCTTATGCCCTATGCGTAGGCCCACCGTAGGTCCTTGGCTTAGACCCTGGTCGGCCGTGCCATGGTCTGCCAAGGCCCTGAGGCCCTCGTCCTTTTTCTAGGGCCAGGCACAAACTGGACGGAACCTGGATGCACACAAGCTTGCACTCATTTCCTCTCCGTAAAGAAATCCCCTCGGAGAGAAATTTAGACCTGGGCAGCATCTAACAGTCCAGTGGCTTACGTGCAGGATGGGGTAGGGCCTGGCTTAGGTCGAGTCGTGCTGGGGAGGCACGCTCTTACCCGTCATTGACTCACCTACCCTGCTGTGTATTGTCACCTTATGGAGGAGAATGAGGGATGCCCGCCATATCTAGACTCGGTCGTGGGCCAATCGAGCAAGCCATGCATATGCCTGAGGATCTTCTTGTCCATTTCGGGCTACCGCTATTTCTATTCATCTTGTTGGTTGGTCTGTGATGGATCTCCGGTAGGGCAGGTCTGATCTTCAGTCGAGGGCTTTGTTGCCCGTGTCAGTCTCTCCGGTATCCACAGTGGTTCTCGTCCCGGTTCCTGTGGGAAAACACAAACCGCGCCTCGGTTCCAGCTGACCACTGGATCCGGGCCCATCCATTGTCCTGTCAGGACATCTTTCCACTTCACCCACCCTTTATGGTTGGGGGAAGGGTTGCAGTGCTCCACAGCTGGGGACCGATTATCATTATTTAAATTTAAAAAATTGTGTGTGAATAGTGCCATGGATAATCGTGCCTTTGGGGCCAGGCCTTGGCCTACTCCCCCTTTTTGTTTTTGTAAAATTCCTTTGAGGCTTCTATGAGCCCTCTCAATGATTCCTTGACCTTGGGGATTGTATGGGATACCATGTTTTAATTGAACCTCCATCATTTTGCAGAACTCATTGAAAGCTTTGCCTATATAGGCTGGTCCATTATCAGTTTTTAATATTTTTGGTTTGCCCCATGCGGCCCAAGCTGCCAGGCAATGATTGATCACATTAGACACTTTTTCACCTGTTTCTGCTGTTGCAAATATGACGCGAGAACAGGTGTCTGTGGAAACATGAACATATTTAAGAGTCCCAAACTCCTGTATATGTGTGATGTCCATCTGCCAAACATCACCAGGGATCAAACCTCGAGGGTTTACTCCCATCGGTATGGCAGGTTTGTATGTGGCACAGGAGTCACATAGTCGCACGATATCTCGTGCATCTGCTCTGGAAACATGGAAATGGTTTGCTAGTGTCCTGGCATTGACATGAAACTTATCATGGAAGGCACTGACTATTTCTGACAAGGCTAATAGCTTCTCCTTAGGCAGGGGCCACTGAGGTACCCAAACCGGATCATTTGATCTCCAGGTGATTTTGATCGAAGTGGGTAGGAGAGCTTCTTCAGCGGCCCCTAAGAAAAACCCAATCCTTGCCTACCTTTTTTGTTCTCTACTGGTATTGGGGATGTCCGACCCTGCAGGGCATTGCCCAAGCCTTTGCCGGGGGTATACCCCTGGTTCCTGAGTATATCCTTAGCCTGGGGGGAGCAGTTTGACGTAAGCGTGACATCCATCTGAGTGAGGATGTCCCTTCCCCATAGAGACACTGGCAACTGCAACACAAATGGTTGGAAATGGCCCTGATGACCCTCCTCATTGCACCAGAGCAGGGTTGAAGCACTAACCTGAGGAGCTGACACCATCCCCAGGCCCTGCAGCGTGTTATCTGCAGTGTTGGTGGGCCAGTTGGAAGGCCAATCCTTTCTGGAGATAATGGAACGGTCAGCTCCTGTGTCTAGGAGCCCTGTTATATTCTTGCCATTGACCTTAAGTGAGAGCATGGGCCTTTTATCAAGTATCATATGGAGTCCCTCGAAGACTTCCCCTGAGGAACCGAAACCTTGACTTTCTCTAATTTTCTGCTTTGAGGGAAATCTCTTGTGGAGACTGGGGAGCAGCAAGAGCTGCGCTATCTTGTCTCCTTTATTGATTACCATAGTACCCACAAGAGATTGAACCATAATTTTAATATGTCCTGTGTAGTCTGAGTCTATGACCCCCGGGACTACTGTGAGACCCCAAAGGGCCGTGGAGGATCTCCCGATCACCAGACCCACGGAATTTTCGGGTAACGGTCCCTTAAAGGTGGTTTCAACCACTTGAACACCCATATCAGGCACTAATATAAGTCCTGAGGCGACACTGAGGTCCACACCTGCTGACCCAGGGGTGGCCCTTGTTGAAGGCTGCCACCCTGAGCTGTCCTGTCTCTGGGGCGGGGGCCCGCCTGTGAAGGGGGCCCCCTCTGGCCGTTTTTTGGCTCTCTAGCATCTCGTCCACAAATACGGTTGCCCTGAGCATCAAAGACCGACCTACACTCCTCAGCTTTGTGTGATCCCTTCTTGCATCGCCCACAAACATATGGTTCTTCATTCCTAGGACGGGGCCTAGCATCTGCATTGTTTGGGCAGTGACGTTTAATGTGTCCTGGCTCCCCGCAGGCAAAACACCCTTTAGCCTTACATTCCCCTCCTGACCCGCGAGGTCCCCTCTGCTGTACAGCCGCGGCCAGGAGAGCAGCCACTCCCGAGTTGGAGAGCGGCCCCCCTATCTCTCTGCATATCCTAATCCAGGCGTTGAGGTCCTTGTTCTTATGAGGAGCTATCGCTGCCTTGCACTCCTTTGTACATTGCTCGAAAATCAGCTGCCTTACCAGCGGTCGAGCCACTCCCGGATCAGAGAATATCTTATCGGCAGCATCTTGCATTCGGGCCACAAAGTCAACAAATGGCTCTGTGGTACCCTGAATTATTTTTGAAAGACACAAGGAGGCTGTTCCGGCACCACTTACCTGCTTCCAGGCGCGGAGCCCTATGGCATTGATTTGTTCATAGACAGCGCCGGGGAACTGAGTCTGATCATCAGCGTGCCGACCTTCTCCCATAAGCATTTCCTTGTTCCACCCCCGGTTTCCCCAATTGGCGTTTCTCTCAGCCTGCTCTGCAGAGAACTCCGCGTACCAGGCTCGCCAATCCAGGTAACTACCCGAGGGCAGACACGCCTTTGCCAGCTGAATCCAGTCCGCGGGGGTGAGGGGCCCAGAAGACAGATTCTCCAGCATGGCAATGGTGTAAGGCGCAGTCGGCCCAAAAGTTGTAACTGCATTTTTAAGTTCTCTAATCTGCTTTATCTCAAAAGGCTCCCATACATTACGTCCCTGGCCCATAGCTACTTGTACAGGAAATATCCCGTAGGGGCCACTATCTATCCCAGGTGGATGTACCTCATGAGACAAGCGTCCCCCCTGCCAAAGCTGCCTGTAAAAATACCGACCCGCCGGCGGCAGAGCATAAGACGGCGGCCGTGATTGGGCGGAAAATGGGGGCCCGTGCATCACTTCCTGTTCTGGCGAAAGGGGAGGGAGCTCCCAGGCGGCCACCTCGTGGCGAGGGACCGCCTCCCTCTCGCGCCGGGGAGCGCTCAGGAGCTCTCTACTCCTCCGCAGACCAGGTTGAGCAGAGCGCAATTCGCGGCGCAACGCTGGAAAAGAACCCTGCGACTCCTTATCGAGCGACTTGGGCTCCTGACAGCTGGTCTCTTTGGCCCCCTTGCCATTTAACTTTCCCTCGTCCTCGGAGTCAGACGACTCTGAGGCTAGAGCCCCGTCCTCCTCCTTAGCATCTTTGTTCCCCTTGATGGGCCCCTCTCGGGAGCTCCCTGACTGGGCCTGCTCAGATACCCTGCGTACTTTTGTAAGCTCTTGAGAGCTTTCTCCACAACCACCCTCGCTCTTAGTGTTGCTACCTAGCATGTTTCCCATTTTTTAATATGTTACTCACTGCGTGAGGCCCAAGGAATCCGCCACTTACGCGTGAGCCTGAGGGGAGTCTAAAAGCCCTGTAGGTGCGCGCCACCCAGAGCCCAGGCTTATCCCCAACTCACCTGTCTCGCAGCTCTGTACTGGAGCGTTGTCCACTACCACGTCTCGGGGGTGATCAGTCCCCGGGCGGGCCTCCAAATGTCGATGTCACTTCTGGCCGGCAGGAAGGACACACGACAAAGTCTGGTAGTGGACAACCTTTTCTTTTTATTTTCTCTCCGTACAGCCTGCCCTGGGACCGCTCCCAGCTGAAGCCTCCTCTGGTCCGCTCCCCGCGGCTCCCTTTGGGCTTCACTCCGAAGCCTCTATCGGTCCGCTCTCCACGGCTCCTTTTGGGCTTCCACTTCCGGGCTTCTACCTGGCTTCTACCTCCGCCCAGGGGTGGCACCGGTATATATACGGATACAGTGTCCAATCATGTTAAAGTAAGCAAGGCAAGCTGATTGGCTAACATCATCAGTTGCCAGGCAGACTATATTGTTGAGCGGGTTGTTTACGCGGTAAGCAGGAAACTAACGTACTCGATGGGAGGGGTAATCTACCTCAGGCTTTGCTCTTTACCACAGGCCGCACGTCCGCCGAGTAAGGCGAACTATCACAGACGCGGCTCCCAACATACTATGTATGATATCAACATTGTTCCTCAGAAAATGTTGAATATTGTGGAATTTTTCTATATTGTATGGATATAATTTTTAAAGCAAACCAAAGGTGTCGTATGCAGTCACTTTTCAAGTTTCACATTGTCTGTGGGGTGTCTCAGTCAGGGTTTCTATATTTCAGACAGCTCTGTAACTTAGGCTAGCCCCAAACTCAAGGAAGTTCTCCTGCATCAGCCTCCCAAGATATATTTCTTATATCTGAATGGAGAGTGATCACTTGGTGATCACTTGGTGACACTGAGCTATAATTTGAAACTTGTACCTGGTTTCATTGTTTATACATTTTTTACATACAGCAGTTTTCCATGAACATTTAAGTTATTATTTATGTATTGTATTTGATGTTATGTATGTTTTGTTCTATGAAACCAAATTTAAATATCAAAATGCTGCTCAAGTATATTACGAACAAAGGACTCAGTGGCCTAAATGAGATTTGAAGATATATCATTGTTAGTACATTGAAGTGATTCATGAGATATTTGTCTGCCTCTGTGCTTTATGGATGCTGGTCCTGCAGGCTCTCACTACGAGCTCTGCTTTAGAGACAGTGCACAGGGACTCTTGCAGTGACTCAGCATAAGAATGAGTGCTCCTATTTGTCTGTTACATTAGCTGTGTGTTGCAATATAGAATTAAATTTGCTGTTTCAAAAAATGTGTATATACAAAAATTAATCCTCAAGATGTGGAATTAAGATTTGAAGAAATCAGTCTCCATTCAGCTGTTTTGTTTGGATTTATTTGTTTAGTTTAGTTTTGTTTTATTGAGGCAAGTTTTCTCTATGTATATCAGCTAGATTTAAACCCTTTATGGAGCACAGAATTGCCCTAACCTCAAAGCAGCACTCCTATCTCAGCGTCTTGAGTGTGGGATTATAGATATGTGTGTGTTTACCCTAAAAAATATTGAGACTTGTAACTTAGCTGTGTTGTAGGTTGGCTTAATAGATGACATCTTGAGCTTTGCATTGA